CGACCATGTCGGGCTGGAGATGATGGTAATATCAGATGTCGTAACCAGCTGTAGGCGCACTGAGTGACCATTAATAGTGACAGTGATAAAGTTACGAAGTGAAAAATCTTTCCTGTGAAGTTGCATAAACCACATTACACTCCCATTTAATTCCGCGTTGTTGAAACGGTTTTGATTGATCCCTAAGGTGTGGACGTCGTGTAGTTGATCGTCAACGTTTTTCTTTATGGCCTTCCTTGTGGCATACGGTGCACTGATGATTGATGAATGGATAGTTTCTGGAAAAGTGCCATTCACCATAATTCCAAAAAACACGTAGAGGTTTCTGTCTTGCGGTGTTATAGACATCTGTCGGTGTTCGGATATAAATTAAATCAATCATTGCGATCTCTGACATCCTTTGTCTTGACTGCAACATTATTGATTCCCTTTTTAAGTTGGCTAGACGCTGACACTCTGCGATGACATACTGAATAGTCAAATCTGGAGATGAGCCCAGTTTGGATAACTGACTTGTTCTGATTTCTGCGTCAGCCGCAGAGGTCAAGCCAGGTACAAAAAGGAGTGACTTGAACTGATCATCTGTAAGTTGTTTGAGCTTAAAACGTTCACATGAATGATTCACTCTGCCCACGTATGAAACATAATCCTCAGATTGATATTTAAGCGGCTTCAAACACTGATAACAGATGTTGAAAATTGAGCACCTTTCACAACAAATGGAAGTGAGAACATCTACAGTCTCCTGAAAATTGCACTCGCTGGAATGTTTTGGTAGAATGAAATGACAGTACTGTTTGTGCTCATTTGCGTCCAGCCTCCGTAGCACCAACCGTACTTTAGCCGCATCATCAAGCTGATCGGGTCAACCAGAAAGATGTTTTCATACCACCTGTACCAGGTTGCGAATGTGATGCCGTTCTCAGCGTCATATTGGAAATATTGCGTTCCGTTTGCCAACGCTCCAGCTGAAGTGGACTCGGTTTTCAGTGTGGTGGGTGTTCGATTTAGGGATGACAGTTCTTCAGTGAGTGCTTTGAATAACAATGTATGTCTGTGCAGTGTTTTTGGGCGAGCAACACCCAATTTCCATCTTCTTCGGCTACGGTCCTAGTTATCGCAGTGACCATGGTTCACAATGTGAATCGCGGTCTACATTGAGATTGCGCGTCGCAATCCAATCACACAACGAGTAATCCAAAATTGAACCTACAAATGTCTGTTTTCGTTCTTGTTTAAACATAGCCAGCTGTTGCTGCTGGATTTAATCATGCTGCTGTTGTAGTACTTGGGTTATCTGTGTATGATCAGCCATCTCCATCGCCAGTGTTATAACTGCGGTTAATGGGGCGTTGAACCATCAGAACAGAGACTTTCATCGCACCGGACAGTGTATTAACCAGATGTCAAGTCACATGAAACAGGCAAAACAGCCGACAATATTGGTTAAGCTAAGAGTGTGTTTCATACAGGCGGCGGCCTGGTGCATATGAGCCACAATAGACCATTGGGTGAGAGTGAAGTTCACGGTCAGTGTGCAGGACGACATTGTACTTTTGAGGCTTCGGATTGCATGGTCTAACAGTTTCTGCCTTACCAAGCCATTCCTTACCGTTGAAGAGCTTATCTCGAATAGCTTCCGCTGGCTTGTGAGCAACTCTGATTCCGAAAGCTAGTAAGAGTCTCTCCGCCATCTCAGAGACGCCATTGCTGTATGGTAGAGTGATTGTTCTGCTATACGTTTCTGATGTTTATCCTTGCGATGGTCGTTTTATCGGTGTTAAACAACGTAGAATGAAATTCTTGGGATGCCCATTCCGTGTAAACATTTTGAACAGGGGATCTTCCTCCGCTTTCCTCAGCTGCGGAGTGCTGCAATGTGTCTCGGCTCTTTTAGAGTTATTACGCAGCTGCGCTTGTAGGTTGTTGGATGATTGCTGCGATAATTCAGGACTTGATATAGACGATACTGTATATTTTGTGTCAGAACTTGTCTTCTCAAGCATTCATGAAGCAAGCAGAGTTGCTTCTGAGTGGAAGATAGCCGGCTGGCACAGATCTCCCATTGACGAGCAGACTTGAGCGCGTCGCGCCCGAATTCACTAGAAATTTGTGAGAAACGTGAGACAATGAATCGTCTGCAGTCAAATCGCCTAGCTCGGAGAACACCGACAAATTTGTGTTATTACAAGTGTACTACTGTGGGGCATCCTCGTGGCCGCATCTGCTGTGCCCTTCCTATTGTCTGTCCACATATAACAGGTATGTCAGTCTTCCGTACAACCGCTCATTGATTGATCTAACCAAAAATACGTAATCGAAGCGTTGTACAAACTGACGGTTCGACTCCGGGTCGCGTGATGTTTTTGACTTGCGCCACTTCGGGAACGAGCCACCTACTGGACGTTAGTTCCGCACTTGCTAGACTGTGACACACCGTCAGATGCTTTCTTTGAACCGCCAGACTCATACCGACACCAGGTACGATTTTGAGCCAGAGACATGTGATGAGCACGCCAGGCTCATTTCGAGGCAGTTGGTGTTTTTGGTCTGACGCTGTCTGACGTTCCGAATCGTGTTACTTCATTCCTTTGGTCGTCTGTAGATTTCTACCGTCAATCAGCTAAGTATGCGATAAAGAGCTAAATGTTCCTCGGCCGTCGACTTACATAGATACCGCAGCCATATTGTTTATGCCTCCTGTGGTCACAAGGTGGTTTCAATTTTAAAAAAAGTTCACCTGACTAACGGTATCCAGTCTGCCTCGTCTCACCTCTGCTAATCATCGCTTGCTGGTGCTGGCTTGTTTCGCATCCTCTCACTTTGCTTGCACAGGTGCACTGTTCCCATTGCTTCGCGTTTCTATCCTCTGTGTGCACACAGCTTTTATGTAACATTGACTGCGATTAACACAAAATGTCCGTGCTTTTAGGAGCTGCATTTGCAATTTCACAAGAATCTTGCATGTTATTTTTGTGTATCGAATGTGTTCCACAATGCCTGACAAGAGATTCTCAATGAACATGTTCAATCTCCCAACCGCAAGCGATATACCGATTCTTCACCTATATCTTTTCTTGTCCAACAAGTGTGTATACTCCTTAACACGTTCTTTTCTAAGTTTCTGGAATACCAGTTGTGTTCGCAGACCGCAACACAAGACATCATTGAGGACTACGATTCAGTAGAAGTAAACTTCGATCACGGAACCACACGTGAAAGAAATGGGTGTCGGTTGCTATCTACTTCGACCATTAAAAAGCACGGTTTTTGTCCTTCTTTAAACTCTTTAGTTACGATCCTCCGGGGCGTTACTCAAACTCGAAGTATAGTCGCTGCCTAGGTCTACGGACAACGCTTGACTCAGGAGTTAGATGATCATTATCTGTTGTATATAGATTGCCGGTGACCGAGTGATCTGAACACCTTGCTTGCAGTCATAAGGTCACCGGTTCGAATCCGCGTAGAGGCGGACGCCCTCGCGGCATACCCATCCCACGCACGACTGTTGGTGGCCGCGTGGCAGGAAGCGCCATTACGACGTACAGCTGACAAATTATTATTATTATTATTATTATTATTATTATTATTATTATTATTTATCGCAGCGTTATACACCCTACTTTCCACTGATAAGCTAATATCCCACCATCTTCATAGTTGATTGAGACTCTCAAATGCCACACAGGCCTTGAGGATGCTCAAACTAACCTCCTCAGTGATGTGATCACTAGAGATGCCACAACTACCAAGATAAGTGCACTGATCTACCATTTCCAGTAGGTGTTCAGCGATAGTAGGACTGCTAGCGTATCTGATCCGTCCTGTTACGGTTCTTAATATTTTAAGATGAAAAGCACATACCGAAGCGTGCAGTGCAAAGCGCCAATCTATTCCGTAGTGCTGTCCATAGCCACTAAGTCAGACCCAGGAAGAGCTATGTCCTCTGCATACTCCAGGTTTGTCAGTTGGTCACCTGGCACAACTTCCACTCCGGTAGAGTCCGAAAAAGCCATTCATAATCATTTTGATCACAAGTTAAAGAGGAAAGGCGAACCCAACTTGTCGTGGGGAATTCAGGAGACAGCTTACCGTAGACCCTTACACGGCCTCGGCAGTCAAGGTAGACATACTGCACAATGGAAAAGAATTTAGCTAGTACTCCCTAGATAGGCAGTGCCAAAGGTTGGTGCGGTCAACAGAGTCGAACGCGGCTTTCAAGTCAAAAAGAGCACCATATTCAATCATCTGTAAGTCTATCTATGCTTTAACACTTGCCGAAGAGTATATGTGTAAATATATGTGATCGACGCAACCAAGACCAGGGCGGAAGCGAGCCTGAGCTAGTAGATCGTCAAAGAGTGCCACTCGTAATGAGTTCGAAAGCAGTGGAAATAAGGAAAGCGTTTCGATTATTTCGTCCGCAATTTGTTGACCATTTTTAAGATGGGCACAACAGTTGACGGTCGCCAGTCTAAAGGTACCTCATCAGTGTCCCAAATCGTGTTGAATAGAGTAGCAAATCCAGCCAACAGAATCACTTCTATCTTTTAGAAAAGATGGGCTAAAGTCGCCGGGTCCAGGAGACTGGTTCCGTTTCAACACGGCAAGCTCATGTTGAATCTCATTTCAGATGATTCATACTGCGGCAATGCTCTTTCACATTTAAGTAAGCCATTTAGATCGCATGGATTATATGGAATGTACAGGATATTTGAGGAAGAATCGCTCTGTGTGCGCTACTGTTTTATTTGGCCACTTCTGTCTGAGAGATCTGGTTAAGGGACTCAGAACGACGACCCACGTTTGAACGATAACGTGTCTGACCAAAACGACAGAGCTTTTATAAGCTAAGATCATCTTCTGGTAATGTATTGGATCTAACATATATATTCTGTTTCTAAGCTGGTACTACACCACCCCGATTAATCGTTTACTCGATGTCTGATTTGCATGGGCATCGTTACGGTGTTCGTGATCGGTATTCAACCCCCTTCTAGATTGACTTTGCCGATCGCATGCGCGAACGCGTGAGAAGTCTTCGCGTGGAACCATCGGATGACGTGGATGCTTCCAGCACTCTGGGTCGACGAAAAGGCAGAAAAGTGAAAGAAACCTACGTTTGCAGTGACACTGTCACGTGGCCGAAGATCCACCTCAAATTAAAGAAAAAACAGAGTTCAGTGTCAAAGGATGCACCTCGAAGTGTATACGAGCCAGTCGTTCACCGTCCACAACCACGCATTACTCCTTATTACCAGACCAACAGCCTGCAGCGACCGCCGCCGCCGACCGGATTGACAAGTGAATACATTTCAGTCAGCAGAGTGAGTTTGCATCCCCCAGTTTTCCGTCTGGTTCACAAGTGGTTCACCTATAAAGCATCTGTTCTTTGAGTGCAGCTGACGCTGTACTTGCGAAACTCGCATCGAATGGTCTAAGCCAATGAGATGAGGAAGTGTTTGGCCTAGATCCCGTCGGTTATATGACTAGACGCTATTTTCAACCGGTACAGATAAAAGAATTTTCAAAGTAACAGTGAACAATTCTCTTCATGTTTGACATGTTTCCACTGACCTTTCTGCGATTTGGTCTCATCATCAGCAAAACAGCCTTCGTATGCTTCGGGCACCCAGGCGCACTTTCAGCATTTGGTTCGAAGAGATCGCCACTCGCCTCTTCTTCTCAATAATAAGCACAATGCTAGAGTATGACTCTCCGGCGTATTGTTCTATCAGCCGGGGCGAGGTAGAAAAACTTGAGCGAGTACAGCGTTTACCCACTAGACTGGTTCCCAATTTACGAGATGTGTCGTACGAAGATCGGTGTGAGAAACTAGGGCTTTACCCCTTAGCTTATCGTCGACTGCGGGTTGACCTCATCACGAGGCACTGGATATTACATCTGGGCGATTACCCCATATTGAGGCCGCTGCTTCATTTGCGCACACCAAGCAGCACACGAGGACACCGGTACAAGCTTGTCGTACCGAATTTGAAGCGGGTCGCTCACCAACTCTGTTTCGAACGGAGAGTGGTAAATGCATGGAACGACCTTGCTGCTTCCAACCAGCAATCAGTAATCATCATCAGCATCATCAATAGTAGTACATCAGTCACTTGGTGATGCATCGCTGCCGTTCAAACAACAGTGACTCACGGAAGGAAGAAAAATAAAAGAGAAGGGGGCCAACAGCAAAATCTTAATGCCCTAAACAAACACTCGTGATCAAGACGCCTACAAGCTGTCAACAGCATACCGTCAGAAACAGCTGGCCATCGCGCAAACATAAGGCGGCATCGGCGAGGCAGTTTCCTTGAGGCTTTCACTGCCCCGCGTCATAATCGGCCACTACTCCGCAGATAAGTGAGCACCAAACGTACTTTAAACAGGCAATTCGACTATGAGACTGCAGTAGTCGCGCCACTGGTATCGACTGCAAGCCATGTCCCGTAACGTCTGGAGTCAACTACAAGACGGGTCACGTGGACGCCAGCTTGGAAGGCGAGGTGGATCGACGGCACCCCGTTTAGTTGTTAGTGGCTTCGTTTCCCACTGCCAAGTAATTTTTGCCCACCTCGCACCATCATACATCTAGTGAGCAAAACCAGGCCCTCCTAGGTAAGCGGTGACCAGCCATACGTGCCCAAGCCAACGCAACTGATTCAGTGCTATCTGTTGTTCTAAAGAACTAGCCTGGTTATCACTGCTCAGTATTCGCTTACGCACATCATCATTATGAAGACGCTGGTGTCATCCGACATCAGCAATGCTTCGCAGCCAACGATGGTCAAAGACTTAAAGGCGGCGCAAATCCTCAGATCGAAGGGGCTAGTTCTCAATCCATAGAGCAGTACTGCTCTCACTGTAGCCTTATAAACACGGCTTTTCAAAAAGAGGGAAAACCCTTTCTGTCTTCCCAGATGCCACAGATTCAAAAAGGCAGTTCTGGCTTTTGCAATGCGTGAACTGACTTCAGTTGCTATGCGCCCATCGTTGCGGACACAGCTGCTGAGGTAAGTGATTTGATCAACTACCTCTAGCTCCTCGCTATCAAGAGTCAAGGGGTCATCAAGTTGCTGGTGGTCCTGCAGCAACACTTTCCACTTTGAAGGTGTGAAACGCATGCCAAATGATGACACCACTCGAGAAAGGTTATTTAGGGTTGATTGCGCCACCCCAACATTGTTAAAAAGCAGGAAATGTCATCTAAATAATTAATCTCAACTAGACTTTCACCAGGTAGCACTTCGACGCCTGCATTGTGAGGCTCCGCAAGGGAACATTCCATAATGGAATCCACAATGAAGTTGGACAAAAATGGGAAATTGGCAACCCTGACTAATGCCATTTTTGTCGGAAAGGCATTCAACTAATCACCAGAGACCCTGACGCGGTCTGTAGTGTTCGAGTACAGAACATGTAAAATGCTCACATACTTCATGGGAACACCTTTCCGCACAAATATTTCAAACAGAAGGTATCGATCTACTGAATCGAACGCACTCTTGAAATCGAAGAACATAGGTGTTGTAGGTACGCGTGGCTTTGCTTTAACACCTGTTGCAGAGTGAATATATGGTCTATACAGCCACTGGGAGGAAATCTGCCTGCTCTTCCCTAATCCGAGATTCCCGTTCCTCGGTGACGCGACGAACTAGAATTGAAGTCATTATTTCTGTCACCACCGGCGTTAGGCTGATACCCCTGTGGTTAGCACGGTCGGTGCAAGTGCCTTCCTTATACATAGCAACTATGGTTGATACATTCCACTTAACTGTGATGGTCTCTGCCTTCGGACCTGCTCGAACAGGAAAGTCAGTGCTTTGCAAATAATCTCACCACCATCATTAAATAGTCCATGTGCGAGCGTATCCGGGCCAACAGCAGGAAAACGCTTAAGCGTTGCAATCGCGTTTGGACATCGGCCTGTGACAGAGTCTCGAAACTGACTGGCCATGGCTTAGCCTGCAACACCTGAGTTCTCCGCCCAATAGACCATACGGCGCTCATTATCGAGAATCAGTGCATCCGCGCTGTCACTGATTTAGTATTGTTCTGTTTTAATGGACAAACGTCTGCACAAAACGCAAAAGTTATGAAATGAAAACATAACGGTGTCATACCTTGTTACCTAGTAATCGGTTCAGTAAATTGAATAATTAAACGTTCTACTCTGACTTTTTGTTGTTCACAATGTAATGACGTATCGCATTGCGTGAACTATCCATTGATGAAACTTTCTGTTTTCTGCTCTCTCCCTACCCAGGCTGACCATGTGCAAAGCGGCCTACCACCAACGGTTCGGGTAGGCATCAACGGGCCCACAACGAAGACTGATGGATCCAGGTCCCCAAAGTCTGATCGACAACTAACAAGCCTATTGTCTATTAGTGTGAGTAGTAACCTGTGTGTGTTGGAACCTAACACTCCACTGCTCATGCACGTTGGCTGCCAAATTAAAGCACGTCTAGTACTGCCGCAACGATCTCTCATGTATGTGCGTCAGGAGAGTCGTCATGGAATACATAATACTAGCCCATATGTAGTGTCTTATGATGCCCCAATTTACGTGAGCCAGATGGGTAACTCATTGCTGATTAGTTGGCTGTCATCATCAACAGCACACACACGATTTCCATTCGCTTCAGCTCGTATGTCGATTTTTACTGCCCATAGAAAATGAGTAGCAATGTCCTTTTTGCCGCTCAGAACAGCCTCAGCAGCAAAAAATGTGCATGTAGTCTTACGCGTCACTACTTTGACAAAATGTCATATGATAACACATGTGTATAAAAGCGGTCTCATAATGAAGTCAAGATAACCGTCATACTTATGTATGTTAGACAAAAGGGTTGCCGATTGTACTTTTAGATGAATAAATTGCGCAAACGCTTACGTCATTCAACTTGACGGGCAATCTTGATCCCTCTCTTCCACGACATCCGAGGTGGATGTGCTTAGGTAGTTTATCACGTCTTGACTCAGTCAGGCAGATATCACAGGCCCGGAAAAGCACTGCACGGCCGTTTCATCTTTTCGGGAATTGTCAGCAGTATGCATTCCATCTGGTCACCTCAGCAATGTGGGGCACGCTGGTACAGACATTAGCATGGACTCATGAACCGGTGATGCAAGAGCGGGTATAAATGCTCTTCAGTTCGACAGATGTAGCGCAGTGAAACAACGAAAACCCAGAGCGCAAACCAGCATTAGCCAAATGACAACGTCTCAAAACAAAGGTTAATAAGCATGAAAGTGCTTCAGCTCTATATCAGAGTTGGCTGTTTGGTCTGATTTCAAATGTAAATGATGTTGTGACCACCCATTGGAGTGTAAAATAAACTAAGCTACCCATAAATTGTCAGTAGTATTTGCGGTTCACGGTCAAAAGATCAATCGGGATCTTGCATACTTCCCATTTCCTGTTCATGATTATCACATATCTGGATTGGTAGCTTACCTGTATGGCTTGGAAGCTAATTGCGATGAACCAAATTGAACCGTACCCAAATCCGTCTACTCATTAGTAATCAAAACAGCTTTTTATTTAGAGTATTGGTGGTTTTGTGAGTGTATTTTTTGTAGAAAGTAGAAGCCACGACTAAACTTTGCATAATAATCTGCCTTGACAGGGAATCGAACCCGTTCTTGTAGTATTATTACTGTCACTATTATTATTATTGTTGTTATTTTGACGATGTGAATCAAAAAACCCAGGCTCCGCCGCGCTCCGTTGCACAGATCAAATTTGCCGAACTAAATGCTCGTCTGTGCCTCAGTTACATGACATAATTTTAGATCTACCTTGCACTCTAATAACTTCGCTTACGTGCGTACTTGTGTATACGACATACCGCCTTCTGAGTGGTAGAATCTACGTTGGAAGGAGCGTTCTAATTGATTCTTGAGTACATGTGTGATACTGTAACTTGAATTTCCCCGCCGTTACTTGTTTGCAAAATTTCTCAATTTAACACCACCTTGTTAGACCGGAGGACAATCGCACCAAAGTGGCACGACCGCGGAGTCTTCGCTACGCGGGAAGTTACACATACTGCAAACAAACCGTACTTCACCAAACCATGTAAGCACCATTTACAGGTGTTATTAAGTAAAATGTGGTTGATAAGCGAGTGTGGAGTAGGCGGCTTAGAGCGCTATTTGCCATTTCAGTTACGTATATTCATCGGAAAACAGAAAAACGGTTGATGCATGAAAGGAATTACTACTTTTACAGCTTAATAAGGAAGACTTGTCCTGAAATTTATCCTGTACAAACCCGAGTTTCCCCCATTCCGATTGCATTATTAGTTGGCCGAGTAACACAGGAAACGTTTGCAGCAGTTAAGATGAGCTTAGTTACAAGTGCTTGTTATTGTGGCGCGTAACGTTTGTTCTTTAATACACACTTTAATTACCACAAGCACCACCGTTTCACCGGGTGCACACCTAACCATATTCATTCCGTCACTTCAGCGCACAAAACCCTCATAGTTATAGATGCTTTCTCAATGCAAGGACTGTGTATCAATAGATCGAATTTTGCATTATTGTATTTGATTCCCATTGTGTGGTAGGCACATCACCCATCACGGTGCTTCTTTCCTTATACCGATTGCGTTTTCTTATACCTATTGATATTATTTATACAGAATTGCAGTACTAAATCAATAACTCACAACTCTATCCCACCACAGCCGTTACCCGTCATCATGGTGCGGCATTCGGAAGAGGTAAAATATACATTTCTAATTAACTTTCCTTTGGTGGCTCACCGTGGCACATCTGAGTTGGTTTGGTCCAATTCTCCTTTCGATGCACCTGCACCAAGAAAGACCCTGCTTGCGGTGTTTTTCCCGTGTTTTACTAGCGCACTTTCTTTGCACACTGGTCTCTCTCACTAATGTAGAAACTCACGGATTCCATGGGGCGGTTACAGCATCATGTGACTAGGCGTACGGGTTACTTCTAGTAAAATGAACATCGGGGGCGACTAGGCCGGCGCAAATACACGGAATTTAGAGCAACGATTGATATCGAAACCTGTCATGTGGTATTCTTGACGGGTGGGAGTTTGCTAGCATTAGGTGACCGCAACGGATAAACGCCGCGACACGGTTTTAAGACACCAGTTGAGTCTTCAGTAGAGCTCGCTGAAAGCTAGCTGACTCAGTTCGTCATCCACGACACAGGTTGCTGCGGGATCCAGGGCAGCTGGTGGAGCCAGTTTCTCATCGTGGCGCGGATCGATACGACGCAGAACTGAACGTGGCTACAGCCAGAGAGTGGAGATCGTTCACTTGGTTGTACCTGTCTGGACAAGTGACGTTAATCAGCCCAGCGACGCACAGTCGAAGGTGATCGCACGTGACTTATCAATTAAACCATGCTCTGTCCCGAATATACACCGCGCCCTAGGCAGAGAAAAGAGCAGCATTACAACAGCTAGTTTAGACAAACAATAAACTATTTTGATGATTTATGAATGAGTGTCGCAGCGCGTAGTTAGGGTGCAGACAGCCCAAGCTAAAGCGGATGGGCCGTTTCATGAAAGAATCAATGCAATCGGGCTCGATGAAATCGTCATCAGTCTGGTAACAGCAGGTTTCATGTACTGTAGACTGGTGGTGGTCGCGCGGCAGCGAAGCATTGTTACGGCGTACAGCTGACACATTACTATTATTATTACTGTAGACGTCAGCGCCACGGGTATGGCACACAATGGAGAGCTGTTCGGGTCGACCGACAATCACCGCATGCTGCCAATTTGGGTGAACTTAAATGTGAATCGCGGTCCATATTGAGATCATGCATCGCCATCCAATCACACGTGTACTTCAAACTGGTCCTCCAATCAGTCAATAACCGTTGTACAAAGCGTTGCGCACCGTCGCTCGATCGCCAGAGGAGTAGTGGTTTCGGCTACCATTCCGATGGTCGCGCGTTGAAGGCCTGATATCTCCACCTGAAGAGATCAAATGAGGTCGAAACGCGTCGTGGTTGTGCAGTGATTTCGAACGGGCAACATCAAATTTCCATCTACTTCTGCTATGGTCCAAGTGATGGCATGGACCAAGGTTCACTTCAATATGAATCGTGACCTACCTTGAGATCGCGCATCGCCATCCAATCACACGTGTACTTCAAACTGGTCCTCCAATCAGTCAATAACCGTTGTACCAAGCGTTTCCCGCCATCGCTCGATCGCCAGAGGAGTAGTGGTTTCGGCTACTATTCCGATGGTCACGCGTTGAGGGCCTGATATCTTCTCCTGAAGAGATCAAATGAGGTCGAAACGCGTCGTGGTTGTGCAGTGATTTCAGCCCGGCAACACCTAATATCCATCAACAGAGAAAAGTCTCGTCCATTGCGAATTGGTAGTAATGTGAAACTGCACTTTCAACGCTAACATCTTGTACTAATTGGCCATGAGTGACTGTGACGGATGGTATTAAAGAAAAACCTTACCTCCCCACAGCATATCATTTACTGCTTGTCGGTACGAACATCTCAATGGGGAGCATGGTTGGGTTTCTGGAGCACTCCCTGTGTGCATGGACTGAGGTACCTAAACTCCAACTGGATCGCAGTATATTGTGAGACTGAATTCGATCATACCGATCACCCCACGATGACTTTTGTCCTTGTTGAAAGACTTCATGTGTAGATAGGCCAGATGTATAGTTTATCAGGGGAAACCATCAACACTGTACCATCGTGCCTCGAAAAGGAAGCTTGCCACAGCCGGTGGGATGTAGTGACGAAAATTCCTGTTAATAATGCATGTTTCCTTGGCTCGAGTACAAGCCCAGCTACCTTTCTCTGAAATATTTCAACGGGCGAAACCTATCGTGAGAAATAACATTGGGGGAAAGATGAGAAACACTCTCTATGCATCCATTTCATGGGTGAAATTTCATTCAAACTGAGCGTGTTTATTGCTTTGATCACCTACGCTGTGTTTTGTCCATGTGCTGGAACTTACAAGCAGCTAACACTACTTGTTATTTTAATTCATAAATTATGCTTTATAGCTTCCTCCTCATTATTGTTATTCAAACTGGTTTTGTTTTCACACAGTATGGCGCTAAATTGATGTGATTTGAAATTACACCTTAATGTTCATGTCAACCTTCTTGCTTAGGAGGAACAATCAACGGTACCATATTTCAGCGCCGAGGTGATCGAAGACTCAACCATGGGCGAGTTGAAGAATCTTTGTGTGGACAACGAGACTATTCAGAAAACTCCCGAGAGCCAGCAAGATCGCATTAACGAAACAGTTAAACGGCTACAACCATTTCTAGGTGCTTGGGAATTGCTGGACACAGAAGGATCGGACCAGGACAACCAGCAAATGCAACAAAAAGCCAGTATTCATGAATTCTTCAGAACATGCATTCGATTGCGCTCCGTCGATCTGCAGGGACAATTTTCTCCTTTCCATTATCCGCTCCCTTCGTTCAAGGAATACTACTGGATCAGATGTGCAAAGTTAGCGGATTGGAACAGCCTGCAGATAGTGCGCGAACCGGAGTGGAACACCGAATACGCACAACTAGTGAGCTTTATTTTATCATAAATGAAGTGTCACAGTGCTGCGCCAAGTATTATCTGCATACCGTGACACAACTGTTGTGTCAAGGCGCTTACGAGGTACCTGAAATCAGCTCTTGGTTGAACTCCCGGCTATAGGGAGTCAGCTGATTCTAAGTGACATTCGGAGTTTAACGTTCCGAGATCTAACGAATAGGGTGTTTTATTGGTTTTACATTTGATTGCACTTACCTAGTAATCAATCGATAGTCTTGCTCAATTGCTACAATAGATGCGCATGTTTCCGGATGAAACAAATCAAAACTAGACTCTTACACGCCTCAACACTGAGCATTTCTGGGACTCTTCAAAGAGCGGATACTAGAACTCTTGCAGGACACCCCAATGCGGGTGCTGACAGCTGACGCCGTTCGGTCAGCCCAGTGCATTTTGCAGCCTCATGAAGAAAAGACTGAGCGGATTCAAATGAGAAACCTCAGTAGCTAGCGAATGGTGTTGTGCCATTGGATACTCTGCGTTGACCGCTCGCTACCGATGCAAAGGATAAATCTAACGAGTCCCAAATAAACAAATCTAGTGTCAAGCGCTTTTCACTTTCTCATCCACAGCTGCAGTGTTCGCTTCTGTAAACAATATTTTTCGTCGCTTTCTACGTTTTATCCCTGGGCGACCGAGCTCGTGTGATCCCATCACTGGATGTTCGTTCCAGATGGCGGTGACTTACTAGACTGTGCCTCGCGCGCACATTTTCAGGGTAATGATGTTACGAGAATCCTTTCCCTAGGGCAGCCGCTGCTCGTGATAGCCCAATTAGGTTTAAAGAGTGGTTCTAGCAAAAATGGGAATTTAATCTAGGTGCCAACTTATGATCATTGGCTTCCTGCTCTCTATCTCTAACTCACATCCGCTCTATACACATGCAACCTACTTTCGTACATTGCACCTTTCATTACCGGGTGTTGTCGAAGATTATTGGTACTTTCTGAAGAACTCACTTACCCACAAGTGTCCATTTCGTTGACGGAAAGTGGGACGATTCTGGATCAACAGTGCTTAACATTCACACGTCCCCTGATCACATCCCTCCGAGTTTATACAATGTATGAAGTACGTCCGTAGCGTCATATACAATGTAGAACGAGGTGTCCACAGTCCCTGGTACGGCTATTGACGGTTGCAACGGCAGAAGCATCTGCAAACACTACGCTTTGTCCGGCTACCTCATGTAATGGAGATGGAGCAGTTCGCCATCAAGTCGCTTATTGAACTATGACATTGTACGAGCAGAAAAACGAATCTCGTAACGGCGCTCCACGGTTGTCACACCAAAAAGAGAAAACGGTAGCAACCCTACCGACTATACAGTTGCTAAACGTTAACTGTTGGCTCTATCATGGTTGTGTTATGGCTAACTTCAAGTAGCTGAAGATAAGCATGCCTGTGACCCATTGACATCTGGGGTACAATCACAGGGTCATCCGGTAGACGCCTTTCTTTCTTTCGGTCATTGGTGAAGGATTACACGCCTGCCTTGTAATCCCAAGGTTATCGCATAGGTGCCGGCGACCTCGTGGTACATCCAGCCCACGCGCGACTGTGAGTCATGGCGTGACAGCGAAGCGTCAATTCGGTGTGCCGACGTACTACTGACACCTTATATCTGGCACACGCTGCAAACGAAACAATCAAGTGAAATTGCGAAGTTTCAAGCATTTCGAGATCATGGTGTATTGCACACATGACTTCATGTAAGCATTGAGCGCCTGTGGAAAAGCGGTGGGGTCGAAAGGCCCAAGGGGCTTTCACAAGAGGCCTTCGTATTAAGGAACTTTAAACGACAATTTTTCAGCCCGTCGAAAGTAACGGAGATCATCTCATTGAGGAACCCCAATGTCTCTTTGATTGGAGATGCAATGAAAAAGATGCGTACCGACCCGGTACGTGTAAGGGTTCGAGTGGCACACGCTCAACACTTTACGTTATCTTCGCTAAACTGAAACATGTTCCTAGTTAGCCATCGAAGTCGCCTTGCAAAGCAATGTAGTCAATTGCTGTCGAGATAAACATAAGAGATTCGGGATGATCACTCTCTTGGAACCGCTTGTGAAAAGTGCTTTGTTGTAGGCATGATGCACTTCTATCGATACAGATGAGACGTTACGTACTCTCACATTTAGGTGACGTCGGATGGAGGTGCGTATCCAGCCCTAGATAGGGTTGCCGATCTCACAGCTATAAAATTGTGAAGCAGGCGATGATCCAGAG